TCTCTCTCTCTCTCTCTCTCTCTCTCTCTCTCTCTCTCTCTCTCTCTCTCTCTCTCTCTCTCTCTTTGATCGAATCACTGTGCGAGCATATTTTTATCCGCTGCTCTCTCGCTAATACCGAGCGAGAATCCGTGTCTATCGCACCCTACCGAGCTCCAAGTCCGAGATACAAAGCGGAAATTTTCCACTGGACAACGATGATGATGATGATGATGATGATGATGATGATGTTGTTGTTGCTGCTGCTGGTGTCGCGAATTCGTGTTGCTGAGATAATAACGTTGTCTATTGCGTCGTATTGTATGGTCGTCCGACAAAACTTACTACCAAAACGGTAAAGCGATCTATATTAGGCACTTTCACTAGGCACAGATTCACAGCCACCGTAGCACGCTGCAGCACCGACTCTCGTGTTCACGAGAGAATGAATCGAACGCGTCGGCGAGCGGGTCGAGTGTGTCGGGTATGACGAGACGCGCGGTCCAAAGTATCATCGCCGACTGGCTGCTACGAGCAACGGCTATTCGTTTAGAGGACTACAACAGCTGATTTGGAAAACACACGGTGCCCCTTCCCCACCTAGGCTCAACGACGGCTCGAGCGCCATCTGCGCCCTACCTTTTCGTGCCGTTCCATGCCTCTTTTGTTCGACGAAAACACCAATTCGACAAAATATTCAGGATACTTGCGCTTTATGAAAAAGGAAACAATCAAGATAAGAGAAAGTCTATTTTAGAGTTGCAATAGGCTAAACTCTACAACTATCTTCAACTTTTATCTATGAGAATTCTCGTTTTCTCCTTCTTTTAATTCCTTATATTTCTCGCAAAGAGAAACTATTCAAGTTTTGGCAAACCATTTAGCCATGGGCTAAATGCACAAATCATCAAGTATATTGTTAACTGTACAATGGCTGGTTGATAAATCATGGAAAAAAAAGTTTTGCACATTATGTCGTAAATCTTATATGTTACGCACTAAAATACATACCTGTACAAGTGTAGAGTCAACGTTTAGAAAGAATTTCGTTCACTGTAAAAGGTATTTAAGGGAGATAAACACTGTGACGGCCGAAAAAAATAGCTCTTTTTTGCTCTTTTTAACGAATTTTTTGTGACGCTTATAAAGCAGGTAGATAAATCAATGTTTTTGCATTGAATTAGTCATCTTTTCAACTGTTGAAAAATATTTTCTTATTTAATGAAGTACACTTTTATTTTGGTATAAAATATAGTAGGCTCTGCAAGGCCCTGCACCTGGAGTCCTTAAGAGTCATCTGAAATAAATTAAAAAAACTCAAGAATTTCTTAAAGCATATAAATGTAGTTTCAGTTAAGCGTATGGATTTTTTTACGATTAAAAAATGCTACTTTTTTGGACGATTTTCGAACATTTTTTAAACGTACGCTATTTTGCGAATAATTAAAATATTAAAATTTGCATACATTTAACTCTGAAACTATATTCATATACTTTAAGAAAATTTTGGGTTTTTTGATTTTAGATGACTCTTAAGGACTCCAGGTGCAGGGCCGATGGAGCTTGCAGAGCCTACTACATTTTATACCAATTCAAAATGTATTTCATCAAATAGAAAAATATTTTTCAACAATTCAAAAAATGACTAATTCAATGCAAAAACATTGATTTATCTATCTGCTTTATAGGCGTCACAAAAAATTCGCTAAAAAGGACTATTTTTTTCGACCGTCACACTGTGTTTATCTCTCTTAATTTAATACATTTCACATATCCAGAAGGATTCACGCAAATTCTTAATTTAGCACAAAAAAGACGAATATGTTAAGACAAATATTTTTCCAGAAATTAATACGAAAATATTAATTTGGAAAAATTGTTTGCCATAAAGAGGATAGAAACTTGGGAACTCTGTCTCTCTTGAGAGTCACTCACCTACTACACCAGTTCTATTCTAGATGTAGATACATTTTGTATTGCATATATCGTAAGGTGGCGAAAACATAATGTTTCAGTAAAATTAACATACGTTGAATTATCAATTTAATATGCAAAATATTCGAATAATACAAATGTAATATGTTAAATTAATACACAAATACATAAAAAATTTAATAAAAGAATATCAATTCTAATACAAAGTCTTTTTTACATGTTGAAACGAATCGACGTACTTAATTCAGTATATAATCTTTCTCTCGTTCAATTCGCAGGTATAACAATTCTACAGACGATCGTATTTCCATAAGCCGATAACACTGACTTTAACGTTGAAGCGCGTGAGACTAATTGCATCGCTCACGGTGGAGTAGTTGATTTTCTTGTAAATATTTCATGGGGTTAGAACGACAGTGTTAATATAAAAATATAAAATGGTAACGAAAAATATAAAATGGTAATGAAATGGAGAGAGGAAGGTTGAGCATCAGTTAGGCTTTTCAAGCCAATTGTATCCGTTGAAATATTACAATATTCAACAACAACTGTCACAGTCATAACGAATCATCATATCATTATTTGCATTAATTGTATTGTGCACTTTTTGCACGAATTTGTTTTCGCGTAGGTTGTAAACGAGTCGGTGAATTCGTCACCGCCTGGTGTCTCGCGCTTGAATTTGCAAGCGGCGAATCGCACCGGTTTTAGCGCAGATACACGTGTGTGACCGATTGGATAATATTCAGGCGAGTTTATCTTGGGAGTCACGTTGGTGAAACCGGCTTTGACGATGTCGTGGAAATGTCGAACTTGGACGACGTTTCGCGCTTTTTTCGTCCTCTGCGAAAACAGGATTCGCGGATGTGCTCACAGGTGAGACGATTTAATCGAGATCATTCTGCCACGAGTTTGACGTCACGGTCGAAATTATACGCATATCTTGGTCGCATTCAACAGTCGACACGCGAGTGTAATATATAAGGTAATATATTAAGTAGGTAATTATTAAGGAGTGTAATATATAATAATATATTAAGGTATGCATCGTATGGTACACGCGTTTTCTTTCTTTGCCCTTTAATCGCGACCATCAACGGTCCTAAAGTGACGAAATTTTAACAGCTGAATAATATCTTTTCAATATCGTTTCAATCGGGCTATTGCGGATTTCGACCAAATTCAGGCCATTCCAAAATGAAATCATGTTTAGTAATTTGTACGAGATTTGGATCGTGTCTACTAAACCAAAACTGTGTGAAAGACACCAATGACTCGCGTGGCAGAGCCATGTCGGGAACATGTCGAAGCGACAGGAAATCTATACAGAGTCGCTCAACAAGTTCATATGCGTTTTAACAGGTGGCGGCACATTGCCGCTTTTCCTGCATAAATCGCTACGATCTCGAGTCAAAATCTACTTTGAACCTCCTCCCCTGGACTTTCTAATATCTATATACATTCTGGAGGATCAGTGTAACAGCACAAATTGTCACGGATAGATTTTAAAGAGGATCTAGCAGATTAAATAGAATCGTGTAAAAGAGGTTAATATGAGTATCAAAATGGGCGTTAAATAGAATAGTGAAATCGAAAATAGAATCAAAAGTTTTCAAAATTGTTAAAAGCATCGGTTATATGTGTAAAAGATAGGTGGGTCTCGACAGTCGCGTTGACGCTATTTCGCGATATAGTGTGCGTTAATATTACGCAGCGTTGTGGCACAGAGCAGCGTGACAGCGACTACAATTGACTATTTCTCACTCAATCACGTGCTCGATTTCGGCTATTCGATACGACTTATCAGTACAAAACTTTACGCATTGTTGTCGCGCGCTAATAAATAAAACACAGACGAATCGTAGAAAATCGGTAGCGCGCCAGAACCCAACTATAGTTGTTGCAGCCATCTCAAATGCTTCCATTCGATTATTCTGACCAGATGTGAACGCAATAAGACGACTCGTCGCATCATTGCCGAAATAGCAGATTTATGTAGTGCCTCGTGCCAAGTGCACAATGCGCGCACGAGTACGCGAACGAGCGGCGTGTCAGAGAGACTGAACGATGGGGTTGTGAGACACAAAACACGCTTACTTTGCGGCAGAGAGAGAGAGAGAGAGAGAGAGAGAGAGAGGAAACAAATTGCTCGGTATGAAACCCGTTGCGAAGAAACGTATCGTTTATAGCGCCTCATTCGCGTCTCAGTCGCGCCGTACCGACGGCGCTGCTGTCCGTTTAAATACGTATATGACATTGACACTCGATATATATTATCGGGGACAGAGTCTCCCTGCGTTACTATTCTGTAAAATTGAAATACTACAGCGTGACACGTCTCACCGAGTTGCATAACGCGTGTCTCTACTCGGAGTGTCGCGAGACGAGACGAATATGTAATCGTATCGTACACATAAATATTTCGTAATGTATGATTTCAGCGAATCGAATTTACGCTAATTCAGACGACAGTAGGTGACGAAATAATCGCGCAAAGACGAGACTCACCGAATGTCAGGACATGGGTAACCGTCTGCTCTGCGCTGCTGCTCTCTGGCATTTCAGGGGGCGGGGGTGGCGGGGGAAGCAGCGGCTGCATGGCGTTCTCCATCCCCTCTCGCTCTTCCACGATGCACTTGTCAGCGTTATCGTTGTCTTGCTGGACGTGTCACTCTGTGTCACTCTCTGTCACTTTCCGACCGAGCTCGCTCGGTCAACCGAGACGCATCTCGCGGTAACGCGGTACACGGTACGACCGTCCACGTCGAGAAACGTCTCTCACGTTCCGTCGTTAACACGTCACAGTGTGCGCGTACGTGCATTTATGCACGCACGGATGTGTGCGTGTTATGTGTGGTGTGTATGTGGTGGCGCGCGCACGCGCGCGCGCGTGCGTGCGTGTGTGTGTATGTGTGCGTGTACGTACGTACGATGTAAGAACGATAGCGCGCAGGGAGCTCGGATTCGCGCGTGCAGACGATGCAGCTGGTGCGGGTGACGGAGCGTATCGACGCGACCCTCGCTCGCACGAGGACCGCCGCGGTCCCGAGGAATCACAGCGGCGCTTCACCGCGCGGCTTTACATGATCGCTCAGCCCGCCCGATTCGCCGCGCCCGTGATGCGGACGGACGCGTTGCCGGACCGCACGTTTTCGCTACTGCGCGCTATCCATCGCGCAATCGCCGCACAGCCGCGGCGATTCATTGGTCGCCGCCGCGCGTCACACACAGGCTCAGGTGCGTACCTGGCGCGTGGAAACCCCAGACGGTACACACGCGAACACTATCGAGAGACTCGCCGATCAAATGTTGCGAGTCGTCCTATATCTGGTCGAGAATTTGCGTCGAGAGTTTTACCGATCCGGCCCAAAGTGTCGGATGAGACGAATTAAATTCGATCTCTTTGCAGGAGACTGATTTCGCAGTGAAGCAGTACGGCCCTGATCTCGACAAGAATCTCGTGTTTCGTTTCTTATGATCGTTTTTCTCGTGTCTCGTACAAAGTAGTATCTTGGCCGCCAGTGTCCGCTGCAGCTTTTGATGCTATTCCATTCGGTCGAACGGACGACGTCATGACATACAGCCGAAAGATCGAGTTTTTCCCGAGGGAATTCGCGTACCTCTCCAATTGTACATATCGATTTTTCCTTATTGATAATCAAGGTCAACGGAATGCGCTACGATATTACGATCGTGGTGTAAGGGAGAAATCGATGTCTTGGCAAAGTAAGAAGAAGATGAAAAAAACTAGGCGCGACTCTGTGTATGGAGTTTCCTTTTCCAAGTAAAAGAAGGGAACATGAGGCACCACCGAGTACATACATGCTCTTAGCGACATGACCCAGCATTCTCATTCGACACGCCGATGTAATCGAGAGTTACGACTTTATCTCGCAAAGTCTCGCGCAATGGTAAACAAGACTCGACTTGATAAAAAACTTATCACTAAATTCGAATATTTTCTAACGTACGTGAAATGGCCTTTGTCTTTCTCGCGAGGAAAGTACGTACCAACCGAATTGCGTCAGATAAACGGGACGACCGATTAAAAAGAACGATCGATTTATTTGAATCTTGGCGTTTGTGTCTGAGAAGAAAGCGTTTCTGTTCTATAAACGAGAACCAATGATAAGATATATTATAGAAAAAATTTCGAGGAGGAGCCTTCTTTTTTTTTTTGTATCTTTTTTGATGATACAAGCGTGCCGATGCGATTAATTGTTATCGCGTTGACGAGATCGTGTGCGAACGTGATGTCGGTGACCTTCGTAACTCCCCCAGCGCGCATTCGTTCCGACCTGAAACAGTAGCGAGTGAAAAAGGCACGCGAACGTTCCTCTCGTCGCGTACGTGCAAAGATGATTTCCGAATTACTGCCCTTTGCAACCAAGTACTTTAATTATTTATCAATCATCATAATCTCGTACGTCGTGCTCATCGAGCTCTACAAATGGTCGACCAGAAGAACAAGTGAGACGCACGTATTCGCGGAATCCGACGAATCCACGGATCCGAGTGAAAGTAATGTCACACTAGTGAGCACTTGTATGCTCCGTGCGCATACATGCATATTTATGAGAGTGGGACAGAATTATTTGAGAAACTTGATGTTTGAAAAACGTAAAAGATAGCGTCTACCTTTAAATCTCGATTAAATTCGACAAATCAGTGGTCTTGTGGTCCTGACGAATGTTAAAGCTGACTATTACTTGAGAGAGGAAATCATCTTAGCCATCTTACACATTATTCGACATTGTTGCACATTGTCGTTTTTGCAGAAACTAACGAAGGAACAATACTCGCGGAGCCTGCCTTACCAAGGGATCTCAAGCACGTACCTTATCAATATGTCAAACTATCCCCAGAGGAATCGATAGCTCGGGCGTCAGAATTTTATCGAATAGCCGCTGCGAGGCGGACCTTGAGGTTCTTTAGCGCGGATCCTGTTCCGAAGGAAATCATTCGTGAGATTATTAAGGCCGCAGGTACTCAAATGACATAAACGTCCTTCCAGTGCTGTAAATTCAAGCGTCGACGAAATTGTCGATCCATGTTGTGTCGTACACAATCGAAGGAAAAAACGAGTCCTCTTTCACGATACAAATATATCTGGCGGAATCAAAAAAGATGTCAGAAAAAAGATAAAGAGTTTATTTTGTTTGGATTTCAAACTGTCAATAAATCCAAGGTATCGATGGATCTATTCGTTTTGTGAAAAGTCAATCGCCAAAAATGCTAGGAATAGATGAGCCAAAAGCGTCGTTTCGCTCAAATTTGATACTTCTCATTCGTCATTCGCGTGCGCGAATAATTTCCTTCATTTCCTTCGTTTAGGTACCGCACCCAGCGGCGCACACACCGAACCGTGGACCTTCGTCGTAGTATCGAATCCATCCATGAAATCGCAAATTAGAGACATTGTCGAGCAAGAGGAGGAGATCAATTACAGAAAGAGGATGGGTATCAAGTGGACGACTGATTTGTCGCCATTGAGGACTAACTGGATAAAGGATTACCTTACCACCGCACCGTATTTGATACTCGTGTTCAAACAAGTCTATGGTATTTTGCCGGACGGACAGCGAAAGATCCATTACTATCACGAAATAAGCGTATCCATTGCCTGTGGAATTCTTATTACTGCTATACAGGTGATTTGACAGATCATTTTGCCGCTTACGAGGCCGTCTTTTTTACGGTATTCGTTACGCACGCGTTTACAATCGTGCCCATTGTTTTTAAATTGTTCAGTACGCTGGCTTGGTGACGCTTACGTCCACGCCGTTAAATTGCGGCCCGGCCATACGCAATCTTCTTGGGCGTCCAACCTACGAGAAGCTCGCATTACTATTGCCAGTCGGTTATCCAGCTCAACACGCTACTATTCCCGATTTGCAGCGGAAACCTCTATCAGAAATTTTAGTCGAGGTTGACTGACATACAAGTGTCGCATCACCACAAAGGATAAATGACGCGATAAATGACACATTGGAGGACGCGAGGACGGTTCATTTCTTTTTTGTCGTTTATTCGGAGTCGCGAAAGTGGGAATATCTGAAATGAATAGGTAAGCGTACATTTATAGCGTTGATGCTATTTTTATGAAAAATTTTATATTTTCCGAATACTAATTTTTCCTTATATTTTACATTACATTTTGTGGATAGCAATTATTTGCTAGAATTGTAGGATGTAGTGTATGTGTGTGTGTGTGTGTGTGTGTGTGTGTGTGTGTGTGTGTGCGTATGTATGTGTGTGTTGTTTGGCTTAAAATATCACTGCCAATATTACAAACAAATTGTAATGTCGAAAAGAAGAGCTGATCCCTGAAAAGTAGCACCTGTTCAAAACGTGTGTATCGTTTGTTGTGTGCATACACACACAAGTATATATTGTGTACATACACTATAATATGTCTCTCTTTTTCTTTCTTTCTTTCTCGCGCACTTGAAAAATATACAATGGCACGCAATGACACTCTATTCTAAACTTAGTAAATCCGATTTGTATAAACTAGCGTTTATTCAAATTTGCATACAGAACGTTAAAAATAAGCGATATAAAATATAAATCCGTCATTTTAATACAAGAATTTAAAAGAATGTCGATAAATGTGTTATAACGAGATACAGAAACTAATCTAATACAATTAGGCGGTCAAATGGAACCGAGAGGTTTCACATTAAAGAATACCAAATATCACCACAGCTTCTTAAATTAAGTACATTCAAGGTATAAAATGTAAAAATACTGGGCTAATAAGACGAAGAACATGTAGAATATAATCCTTTTTTGCAGTATTCGCAAGAGTCCGTATATGATAGCTACGTCGCTACTAACAGTTCTATGTTGTTATTAAGTGTAAAAGCTTTAGTATCATGATACATACAAGATAAACAGACATAATATTCTATTTATCACTATTTATGAAACAGATACTATTAATATCATGGTTTCCTAGAATATGAATTTTTTTTCTTTTCGTATTTCTCTATAAGACTTGATACAAGAGCCAAGTCGATAGCGAGGAGCTAAGAGTTAATGTGAAAAATGAACTCGAGATCGCCAAATTTTACCTTTTTTTCTCTCTTCAATTTAAGCAACCGTAAAGATTACAAAAGCAATCAAACTTGTTGTAATAATAATATCATTGACTAAGAGTAAAATAGTCTAGAACTAGGAGAGTATTGTCCTATTTAGCGATCTTTGACTATGTATCTATCATTCGTTTATACTTTGCAGCGATTTCGCTGTAAATAGTACATGTCGATTACTAAAATGAGCAAAAAATACACTTTATTCTGTACGAATGTAAAGTCTAACTTTGTCGGTAAATCGAACTCTGTCTTTGTCTTTAAAATTATTAATCTCTGCGTTCTTGCCTTGTAGGACTTTGATCCTTATTCTGAACTGTCTTTTTTATCGATAAAAGTGTCTCTTTCTAAATGCGATTAGGAGCCAAAGGCTTACAAGTCACATTTGAAGACTTTTTTATTGATAAAAGAAAGTTTAGAATAAGGGTCTTTGTAGACAGTCGGTTATAACTAGGGACGAGATCGAGTGCAATGTGTACTAGTGTCGATTCTACTCGACAGCCAAGCATCATTTCTCTCGACTCAAATAATATTTTTGAATAATACACCGTACACGCATGTGTACACGCGCGCGCGCGTGCACACACACACACGCACACGCACACGCACGCACATACACATGCACACACTCCACATACTTTAAAGAATTTGCACAATCGAGTACACATCATATAACATCGATACAAAGTGCGATCGAAACTTCACGCAAAACGTATGTTCGAACCATTAGTATTTTACATTGTTTCATTTACACGACACACTACCAGCTTATATGCACATTAATGCACACATATGGATGTATGGGTGTATCTGTACATAGTGCGATTAAAAATACTAATAGAAGGCTCGCGAATATACTACAGATATATCGATATTATTGACAGTACTTGGGTGTACACTCGACCACGTCCCTCTAATTAGGACATGTCTATATATACTTATCTGTAAAAGCTATCTCGATAAAATTATAAATACGTTTCCTTACGTCTTTACCTCGTTGAGATCACCAGTGCCTGAGATATCTAACGTAGTAATGCTATATAAACATATCCTCCTAATTGTTATTATCATTATCGTTATTGTGTTAACATATGTTTAATGTATCGAGTCGACGACCAATGCAAATTTCGTAATAAATAGCAATCGATGAAGTTGGCTTTCTTCTTTTTCGGGAGATTCCGCCGGTGTATGTCGTACAATATACGAGGAAAGTGAGCTGGTGAATACTCTCCTAATTCGAAGACGAACGCTGCACCATAGCGGTAGATAACTCTGCGAATTATCTACGAGAACGGACTTAATCACGGTGATGAAATTCGGCTATGCATAGGCGGCAAGACCAGGAGCCCTCGGGGGGAGATGCAAGAGGTGGAGACAGACAATACATGTGGTATCCACGATCACAGTCGTCACAGAACAGCAGTTGATCCTGATTCAGTTCGCCAAACCGTTAATCAAGTGAACCGTGTTCACAGAGCGTATTATACAACATATAAAACTAAGTTTCTGAGTCTTATAGACTTTCGCGACAAAGCTGATAGATAGAAGCCAACATCAGAATTAAATTTCTCGGCAGCCGGGGTAAATATTACTTGTAGCGATCTATTGTGCAACTGTACTACAAAAGATTCTTTGCATATACAATCATCCATCATACAGTTCAATTTCAGTTAACAGTACGACCGATAAACTATTACGATACACTATTAAATGGGGATTGATATCGCGACTTTTAGTTGCGGTCTTTCATTGACCGCTTGTCAAGGTAAAATTTATCGGGGATCCTACAAAAAAGATTACGAGATAAATACTTACGTCGTTGTCAGAAGTACCACAAATGGAGCAACATTTGCACTCGATACACTGCCACCTGTACTTGCGAACAGAAACGATCATGTTTGCAGTGAATTGCAAACAAGTTGGATGCCCTATAACAAGAACGTACGCACGTCATGGACCACGTATTTGGGACGGTATGAGGAATCTGTCGTAGGATGCGAGTAGAAAGGTGCCAGGACATTTATCTTGTGCCGAAGAACAGTGAACTCCAAGCTATAGTTCCTTTTCTCATTTTTTCTCTTTTTTTCGACAAATTTTGATGCGTGACTAGGTCGCAAATCGAATTGCACAAGAGAGCAAGATAGAAAGCACAATGTTTGACAATTTTGTCCACAAGTGCGATTTGACATGTCTTTCACCTTTCCTCAGCACTAAAACGTCCGGAATAATGATACGTCCTCGTATGTTTCCGCACAGAATATTTTATTTCGTGATATCTTTTTTTTTTTTGATGTTGTATTTTGAACATACTGTTATTATTTGGAATAATAGGTGGTAAGTAATAGCAGGGCGTACCTTGGAATAGTTCACGTTCTTTCTTGCGCAGCACAATATAAACGTCGCAGATGCACACTCTCCCTCACTCCTCTCTTTCTCGCAAACACACACACACACACGTGCGCGCGCGCACAAACACACACACACATTCTCTCTCTTTGACTTGCTCACTCGCTCATTCTTCTCTCTTCCTCGCACTCACACCCTTTCTTTCTTTATCATGTATACATACACGCAATTCATAACGTATCACATTTTTTATATATATCATATATATATATATATATATATATGTATATGGAATCATACACACATACATATATATACATATATATTTATATATAACTAGTGTGACTTAAATACTATATTTGTATTAAGCCTCATTGGGTATTGCTTAATTAAAACTGCCTAATAACAAGTCTTCAATTTTATATATAACAAGGAGGAACTATCTGCATGCTTCCATTGTTTTTATACCATGTGAGTTTTTCTTACGACACAATCTAAGGATAATATAATGTCAATTTATACAAGAGATAAACTAAAATATATATAGTATCTATTCTGCCATATTAGCTATACCACATTAAACGATAGAATATTCTACATTGTTGTATCGTATTATATGTAAAGAAGCTGTAACATATCTCTTTGTCGATAGCTTTCCGTACTCGCGAATTACATAATATATGTATATTAGAAAGTACTTCGCAACATGAGGCTACAATTAACTCAAACCAATCTTATAAACGATCTATAGTTAAAGAAGACTGTTGCAAGGTCACCTGGGAATTATCCTAAATATCTCGAGAATTGAATATGAAGCATCATACACATATCTACATGTGTACGGGAAGTCAAAAGTTGTACGATGCTAAACAACTCACGTAGCGTATAAGCGTGAAACGATCTATACGCAGAATCGCGATGTGTGGCTATGCGATTGTCATCTCAACTTGGTCGAAATTCAATTCACACGAAACGCCACACTTGCTTCCCATTGCCGAAAAACTCATAAGGTATTACATTGATTCGACATACGCTTTCGTTATTCCTAATGAAATGATGTCCGTAAGAGTATCAAAGCTTGTACAAAACTAAGCTATGTCTCCAGATTTCTACAAGAAGATATATAGTCACGATGTTTGCGTGACGTATCATCAAACAGGTATATAACTGAAACACTTGATATAGTTGATTGAAAAAATTTTTTCACTTTTCTTTGCGCTTTCTGCAAATATTATTTTCTTCTTGCTTGCGTTAAACGTGCAATAAATATAACATAATTATTACGTGTACGTTATAACAAAACCTGTCACTGTAAACCTGACAGTACGATAGCAAAAGGCGATTATGAAGTCAGAGAAGCTAATGCCCGAAACTAAAGGTAATTAAGAACGGCAGATACGATGGAATGTGAGATATATTAGAAAAGAATTAACGAGTACTCTGCGGTATATTCGCGAAACTAACACCCTATTACACACGTGTCACTTGTGAATAAACTCCGTGTCGTGGGGAAAGATCGGTAATAACTGTCAAATATGAATGCGAAGGTGTGAAATATGACTTGAAATATGTCTCGAGTAAAAATACGCAAGGATTGTCCAAGAGACAAACTGTTGCTCGAGATACAGAGTCGCGCTATCCAAACATAATGCGCAATAAAACGTGCCATCGTGTACAGCAAAATGAACACACATCTTTCGTATTTCCTTTACTGGAATCATTCGAATTATTCTTCAAAACTATAAGAATTGTATATCGTAAGAATGTATCGAGCACACATGTAAAATAAACATATCAAACAAGTATCAGCGAAATTTTAGTGACGATTAAAACAATCGATAATCACTATCGAGTCAATTTTTCGATCGAATTCTCTCAAAGCCGCGGAAAGTACTATGAAATCCATAAAAGACGGCAACTCTATCGTTATTCTTTCCGTATTGCGTTCTCGATTTGCAATGTCTATAAAACACGTAATACTCAACAAACGCAAAGATACAAAATATTTACAAACATTGAAAGAACGTAGAAATATCGAAGACTCGATCAACACTTTGTTATCTTACAATAAATACGTTATTTCTGATAAAACGATTCATGATTGTGCTGGGGGTATATATAAAGTATGTATAAAATGTGCGTATGTGTATATATACACACACATACACACACATATGTATATATGTGTATGCAGATGTACATATTGGTGTGTGTGTGTCGCGCGCGGCGTGCGTGCGCGCGCGCGCACGATGTGTATACACATACACACCCATATATATTTATATATGTACACACACGCATACTCACATACATACACATACATAAATGCATATACATATATATACATATATACATATGTATATACATATATATATATATATATATAGCGTTGTATCTAAAATTTTCTCTCAAACCCGCCAATGCGTTTCTCCATGTCGGGTATATCTGATCTCTCTTTCTCTCATACAGTTTTCTTCTTTTTGATTTCCAACACAACAATGTAAATATCATATACACTGTCAAACAGAAGACAAATACATCTTCTTCAATACGTGCTCTGGTGGTACTGTGCAACAGGAATTTCAACATATTTGCATAATTTCACGTGAAAATAAACAATTTGTCGATTTTTCATTTATATATATATATATATATATATATATATATATATATATA